TGAAAGGATCAAACTGTTTCCAACTAATTCAGTCCTGTCCCTAAATTTCAGGAATATACAAATATTCATTGCTCAACAAAATAGAATTCACAATGTCTTATACATTAGTAGTCTATATGTGCATAGAGTGCATAAAAAGTATGAAAGATGAAAAACAGACCCAAATATGACTTCTAAAGATAAAAATTGCAAAGGCTGGAAAACACTTGGTCTTAAATTATATAGTGGGCTGCAGATTAGACAGTGCAAAAGAAAGTACCTGTATTGGCCAGGTGTGGTGGTGCGAGCCTGTCATCCCAGAACTCAGGAGCCTGAGGCAGGAGGATTGCTACAAGTTTGAGGCTAGCCTGGGTTACACAGTGAGTTCAGGGCCAGCCTGGACTACATAGCAACACCTTGCTAAAAAAAAAAAAAAAAAGTACCTGTATTAGTGAATTTGAAGAGAGAGAAACTCTAAACTGAGAAGGATTTTAAAAGTTAAACAGAGATTCAGTGAGCTAGAGGAACATCCAGGCATCCAACATACACTAATTGGGGTCTCTGAAAAGGAGAGAAGTGTCAGAAAGAATACCAGAAGAGAACAAACCCCAAATTGCACAGGAAATACTTCAAAGTATCAACAACTTGCATCTCATCTTATTAAAAAACTTCTGCACATCAAAGAAATCACCAACAGATTGAAACAACAACCCACAAAGTGGGAAAAATTTTTAACCAATTGTCCTTAAGACAAAGACTTGTATCTAGAGCGTATAAAGAATTGAAAAATAGGGTGCTTGAACTCAAAGACTCAATCCAAAAATGGACATCTGAGGTCAGTACACACTTCTCAAATGAAGAAATGCAAATGATAACTAAATATATGAAAAAATCTTTAACATCACTGATCGCTCAAGGGATACAAATTAAAATAATGCTGAGATTCCATCTCACCCCAGAAAGAATGGCTAGCATGAAGAAATCAACCAATAACAAGTGCTGGAGGGGCTGTGGGTAGAAAGGAACCCTTCTCCACTGTTAGTGGGAGTGCAGACTGTTGCAATCACTGTGAAAGTCAATGTGGAGATTCCTTAAAAAGCTAGGATTAGGGGCCAGGGAGATGGCTCAGTAGGATAAGCGCTTGACTGGCAAACGCAAGGATCTGAGTTCAATCCCTGGTTCTGCAAAAAAAGCTTGGATTAGAGGTCCTGCTTGACCTAGTTATTCCCCTTATGCATATTCCCCAGAAGAATTCAAAACAACATACAACAGAGATATATGTACATCCATGTTTATAGCAGTAAAATTTGTAATAGCTAAATATTGAAAACAACCCAAATATCCCTCAACTGAGGAATGGATAAAAAAGATGTGGTTATTTTTATACAGTGGAGTACCTCTTAGCCATAAGAAGGATAAACTTGAGACTATTATAGGTAGATGGATCAACTTGAGACCATACTCATCAGTAAAGCAAACTGGGCTCACATGTGTAAACATCATATTGTCTCCCTGGTGTGAGAAGCTTAAAGATTAAATAAGGTCTAAAATGCACAACAGATATGAAATGGGAAGACTTTCTTTTTTCTGTATTTAGGGAAGAGTCTACAGGGTGTGCAGGGTCTCATTACTAGATAAGACTGATGATGATTCTCCTGTTTATAGCTTTCCAAGTGCTGGGATGACAGGCACGTGCCACCATGCCCAATCTCAATTGCCATCTCATTGCGCTCTGGGGGCGGGGCAGCAGGGAAGGCCCAGGGATTGAACCCCCAGCGCCTGTGCCTGCTTGCAGGTGCTTTAATTTGCTGAGCTATTTGGCAGACCTTTTTTTTTTT